AATTATTTTTATATTATATCTTGAGTTTTACTTAAAAAATCATTCTTAGATATTTCATTTCTCTCCTAAAACAGAAAGAAAGTAACTTGTTAAAATTTTCCAGCCTTAACAATTGACAAAATATGCAACAACAAATGTATCACTTGTAAAAAAAAATGTATTACTTTTACCTACAGAAATTTTAAAATTTAATTTCAATTATTCTGGAGAGGCGATCGTTTGTGAAAGTTTTTGTTAAAAACATTTCCCCTCTTGGTTCAGCCTGGAACAGGAGGGAAGAACATCGACAAGAAATGTAACAAAAAATTCGCTGTATTTTCCTTAAAATTTAACTAAAATCAGTCTGTTATATTTTTGTTAAATTTTAACAAAAAATCCCCTCATTTTTACCTAGCTAAATTATAAAATTTAATTTCAATTATTCTGGAGGGGATTTTTTGTTAAAAAAAATTTCCCTCTCGGTTCAACCTAGGACAGGAATTTTGCATAAATTTTTTTTAATTTTCTAAGAGTTATAAATTATTATATAATTAAAAAGCCCTAATACTAAGACCACTTCTAATTCTTATTACGTTTCTCTACACAGTTTTGTCCCCTTTGCTATGATGTTATGAGCAACAACAAAAATATACTCCTAGCCCCAGACGATTTAATATAACGCCTGGGCACTAGGAACATACATTTTCGAATGTTACTCCCTCAACACGATTTCCTGCAGGAATCCCTTGAAAAAGATATTATCGATTAAAATTAGAATATTTCTTAACAAAGTCTAGCCTATGTTGCCCATAACAAGAAACAGACTTCAGAAATGAATTTAGGACGGCCGAATTAGTTGACGAGAATTTGCTCATAGATTCCATAGCCAAAAATTCTCCAAAAAAACTATAAAAAATGCTCAAATTGCAAGTGACCATATCTTCCGTCCTTCCTTTAGTCGGTCGATAGCCGCACGGTTTAAGGCGTCAATCCTTTAATCGTGTGAATATTTCTGCCCGGGTTCGATTCCCGCGGCCGGTAGACCGTAGATTAGCTATGCTTGTACGGAGGATTGGCACCCTCTGTGCAGGTATGGTAGGGTGGAAGAATGTTGGCTTGGATCAATGTGAGAGATTGACACCGGTTGGCATTTGACCACCCCCCTAATTAATGAGGTTTTCCAGGTTTACCTCATTCATGCACTGAATGGTGGTTAGGGCCTACCAACATAAGTCGTTCCTGGGCGCAAATGCGGCCTGCCTAATAATAATATGCCGCCTCCTCTCCCGCACAAGTCTCCGACTTATGGGCTAATTCTCGTAATTAGAATGAGGAGTAGAGATATTATTATTATTATTTATTATTATCTTCCGTCCTTCAAAGTTTAGTTCTAAACAGAGTCTAGAAATCGATTTAGGAGGGTCGAATTAGTCTTGGAGAATATTTTTAGAAGTTTCCTAAATAAAAAAAATATTAGCCAATAATTTGGAGAATATTAAAAAATTTTCAAAATATGAGTGTCCAAACATAAATTAAAACATTTATACGCTCGTATTTTGAACCGCCGAACACGCTGGTACTGTATTTTCTATAAATTTTATAGTTTGGTAGGAAATCACTAAAAATATTCGGAAAGGTGAATGAGAAAAAAATTTTTAAAACGTACACGTATCGCCCATCCCTCTAAGTTTAACTCAACACAGAGTCTAGAAATCGATTTAGGAGGGTCGAATTAGCCTTGGAGAATTTTTTCAGAAGTTTCCTAAACAAACAAAAAATTAGCCAATAATTTTCCAAGGCAGCCCATGAAAATATTCAAAAATTCTCAAAATACGAGTGTCTAAAAAATAAATTAAAATATTATACGCACGTATTTGGAACCGCCGAACACGCTGGTACTGTATTTTCTCTAAATTCTATGATTTGGGAGGAAATCGCTAAAAATATTCGGAAAGGTTGAATGAGAAAAAAATTTTAAAACGTTACATACGTTTTAAAATTTAAAACGTATGTACACGTATCTCTCGTCCCTCCAAGTTTAGCTCAACAGTCTAGAAATCGATTTAGGAGGGTAGAATTAGTCTTGGAGAATTTTTACAGAGAAGTTTCCTGAAGAATAAAATGTATAGCCAATTTTCCAAGACCATGAATGACCATGAATATATTCAAACATTCTCAAAATATGAGTGCCCAAAAATAGCGTTACAAATCTAATCTAAGGTTACAAATCATAATATAGGCAACCAATGCAGCAACTGTGTAACGATGGTGGAACATCATGTTCTTCCGTAGTTTATAGTGCTTCAGATATTTCTGTACTGCTTATGTAGCTAAATTACTTCGTTGTCGCACTTTCAAGATATATTTGGTAACATAGCACGACACGATATAGTCCACTGATTTCTGTTACATACGTATAGAGACTCGTATCACACTATCATAGACCAGTACGAACATAGAACGACGATTACCAATAACAATTTTTTTGCACACGGCCCCAATTTACTTCTTCAGAATAAGGCGGTTTTTCTTTATATCTGTATATCTGTGTTTTCTGCAGTTTGTTAATTCGCATATACTTAATTATTACTACATTAACTGTATTTGTGAAGTAGTTTTTAATTTTATTTTAAACAAAGTAGTAACCACAAAGCTTTCATAAATGATACAAGCCACATGATCAGTAATTCTGTTTGGAACAGTAATTTTATTACATTTACGTTGGCAATTAAATTTCCGTAAAATTAAAAATTAATTAAAATAATAAGATCAAGATTACATTAAAACATAATTTTCTGTTTCATAGATTAAATACTTATATACGTTCTGTTTCAGCAACTGGTGTTTGGTGTAATTTTTCACATTTCATTCAACCAATCAGCGATCGCCTTATTTCGAGTGTAGACGTAACGTTTTGTCACTGTTCATTAAAAATAAATCATTAATATTAGTAATGCTCATATTAGGGATTTTTAGTTGACAGTACCAGTCGCGTTATGTTGGTTTCTTAAACTCCTATTTTGCATATAGATGTGCAAAGGAACAATTTGTCCAAGAATTATAAAAATCCTGCCGCACTCATAGATCCAAAAACAGGAAGAAGCTATCTAAGCAGACTAGTAAATAGAAGATTGCTCCCTCACAATTAATTCAGTTGAACTTTTTAGAGCTAAGATCTGTAGCGTACCTGTTTGACAAACTGAATAAACTTGAACTCCGCCTTTATTGGACGGGATTTACAAACTAAGTGTATGCACAAAATTTTGAAGAAAAAAAAAACCAACCGTGCAAGTCAGGTTAAGTAACGTGTATAGAACAGAAATATTCATACTTTCATTAAATTTATCCATAAAATTTTCAGGTCATGAGAAATTAAATTGCCATGCCAAAGGGGCGGAATTTAAGTCTGTTAAGTTGAAATGATAGATTTAATGAAAGTATGACTAGGTACAATAATACATGTTATTTCTTTCTGATATACGTACATAACTCATTTTATCCAATATTTCAAGCACACACTTTAGTTTGTAAACTCCGGCCAAATCTAAGCAATAGACCTTTTTAGTGACGTCACATGCGCCAAATAATAGGCAACCCCATTGTGCACAATGTCACGAAGAATTTCTCAATATTTTTACTAGATCGATTTTCGAGCTTATGTACTTTGGACATAAGTTCCAAAAAAATGGCTTCTTTGTCATGACCTTAAATATAGCGATATCAATATTAAAAATATTTAAGAAGTTTCAAACTCCAAGTGACAAACTAATAGAATTATAGAACTTATATATTTAAATTTATAGAACAATATTAACTTTATAGTAATTAATAAATTAAGATTATATCAGTGTTACTGAGCATATGCATTAGAGATAACTTCATGTAAGCGAAGTAGCCCCAGAATAGGATATCATTCAAGAAAAGTTTGGTTGTGGTTAAGAGTACGTCTATAATAAACCGCTTGAAGAAAAGAACAGTCGATAAACACACTCACACAGTACAATACCAAGAAAAACAATGAAAATACTTAGAACTAGAAAATGCCAACATTAAACAAAACAAGGGAAAATACGCTAATGATGACAGCGATAACATATCCACAAGATCTCACCTGTGTATGAGGCTATTCTTTCCGAGCATGAGCATTAGGAATAACACGGCTAATAATAAATTTTTACTTTATTTAAATTTAGGAATATTCTTTTATATCGTTTTTTTGTCAGTTTTAAGCATATTAGTGTATCTATTTTACGAAACATGTGTTGGTTGTTCTTAAATACTTCCAAATCCTTGTAAAAATAAATTAATTTGAAGTTGTTCATTTTTATAATATCTATGTAAATAGTACACAAGGGTCAGATTCGGTCTGTACAATTTCAACTATGCCAATTTGTTGCACGGGTTGCCTAAATATGTGACGTCACACTAAAAGAGTCTATAGACTCAGTAACATTAATATAATTTTAATTTATTACCTAATTACTATAAAAGTCAATATTCTCTAAATTTTAAATATATAAATTCTATAATTCTATTAGTTTGTCACTTGGAATTTGAAACTTCTTAAATACTTCTTATATTGCCAGAATATCGCCATATTTGTCATGATAAAGAAGCCATTTTTTTGGCACTTATGTCCAAACTACATAAGGTCGAAAATCGATCTAGTAAAAATATTGAGAAATTCTTCATGACAATGTGCACTATGAGGTCGCCTATTATTTAGCGTATGTGACGTCACTACTAAAAAGGTCTATTGGGTAGGAAAAATGTACCTGCCAAATACCTACCAAATGGCATCACAAATACAGGTTGATAATATATGCAACCAACTCGACAGCTATGAAGACAGGATAGTGACAATAGAACAGTACGTACATACTACCTATAGAGTTCACTGCAATAGAACGAAAATCTTGTCTGCTTTTAAAAGCGGGAAACATTGCAGTGTCTGTCTGCAGTATAAATGGGTCCTTTTGAATAAAAAAAACAGAATCTTTAAAAGTAACATTATATTGAAACTATTTTTGATATATAAAATAATGTTTAAATTTTTCAAAACTACTTTTTGTAATTATCACTTTTAATTTAATGAATTGTGTATTTCCTTCATCTGGCTCTTCGGCAGTGACAGTTGCATTTTTACGTAACCATCTACAACAAAATAATCTCTTATACAGCGTGTCTTGAAAATATATACCCTGTAATATTTTACTGACATTTTCTAGTTGGAGATTAATGGGTAAAATAATATAAAAATATTAATTATAGGATGAATATCTTAAATTATCCCTAAATGTACTATTACTAATTAATTGTTCATACCTAAATTCGTCTCCACCACTTAAAACTTTGATGGTGATCACCTGCCTAGATGTTGCTTTTAAAATACATTCTTCTAAATATCGTCTTAAAGAGTCTAATCCTGGAATAGCAGTATTAGAAAATGTCTACAAATCACGAAAGCATATTCCTAACTTACCCAATCCAGTTTTTGCAGATACTAATATATCTAACCCATGTTCTGAACTATCTTTACTAACAAGATCACATTTGTTTCCTACACTAATAACTTTGTCTAATAAATTTTCATTTCCAGTTTGTACTCCTAATTCTTTTAAAGTAGTTACCACATGATTGCGTTTATATTCGAAACATGAACTAGACAGATCCTCCACCAGCAATACCACATCCTAAAATGGATAATAAATAATAGGTGTCTTTCTGCAACAATCTCAAACTATTTTCAAACTTCACTTAAGTCTTAAGTTGTCACGAAATTTTAGCCAGTCTAAGGTCATGAATCAATTGGTCAAATACCTTTAATAGTTTCAAATCAGTCCTCAACTGCTGCAAAAACAGACCTTATATATAATTCAAATATAAATCCAAGAATCCAACATACCAGGTGTTGTTTCATTAAGCAGAATTTTAACATCAAATTATACATTAATATTATACACTAATTAACATTAAAATATAGTATTAAAGAAAATATTGGAACAAATCAATGAATTGTGAGATTTTTGCATTGGAACTTTGTTACATTTAAATCCAATGTATGATTTACGATTAAGTGACTAGTTAACCATTAAAAAATTGGATAGTCAATACAGGTTCTAAAAGTCAATCGATTTATTTGTGTGCTCGTGAAATTTAATTCTGCACATTTAAAATAAGTGCAAACTGTGTATATGAAATATATGAAAAGCAAAGCCTTAGTGCAAATCACTACCAACAATTGCATGTCTGTATAAATAACTATCTATATATTTGATAGAAATCAGTGGTTGCAACTATTATTGACCATTACTGGTACTGTCAACTTTGCCAACATCCCAAGAAACAGAAAAATTGGCAACTTATATGTCAAGAAAGACTCTAGTACTGAGTCGCTCAGTATAAAATATAATGTTATTATCAATCTGAGAAGTTCCGATGGAACATGATAAAAAGGAATAATTAGTTACTTACTGGCTTCATTTAATGTTTATATAAAATTTTACTTGTGGAAATGACCAAATCTGTACTGAATTAAATAAATATTACATGATTACCCTAAAAAAAAGGTAATGTGACTTACTAGCAATTAGGCCATGCTTAGACCTTTTTGCCTACTAACCTACACTATCTTTCACCTTACAAACACCACAAACATCCATAGGTACGACAGAAAAATTTTTACAATTTTTTCTGCTTTTGCGGGACTTGAACCCACTACGGTAGTGCCAACCTACCACCGCACCTCACGAGTACGCTATATTGACCTTTTAAACTGCTATGGTATCCAAAGTACATAAATTTCATTAAGTATATAAATATATGTTGAACAATGAATAAATCGAACAAAAAAAATGTTCTACTATAAACATCCAAAATGCTACTTATAAACTGATTCATTTTATTATTGATAAATGGAGATTCAATTATTTTTACGTGCTTACAGTAAAATTCGTATAACTTGAATATTTTAAGAGATAGATTAAGAATTGAAATATAATTTAATTCAAACTTTAATTGTGACTGGAACCATTCACAATATACAGGGTGATTCACAACATATAAAAAAACTATGGGGATATATGCACCATAAAAAATAGAATTGTTATCATCGATATATTTACTGATTTTGAGAAAAAATGTTGTTATATTTAAAAGTACTAAGTAACTGGACAACAGTATTATTGTTACATAATTCATCAGGTACATCTATAGCAATGCAGAATTAATGGATATTGTCTTAAATGCAAATCAAGACAAAATGTATTAGCAGCTTCTTGCCTGTATGCAGTAAATTTGCTGCTACTTTTACTGCTGTGGTTCAATGAGGTCATGAAGGAGGAAATTTGTTACCAAATCATTGAAGGAATGGTTGCAGGCGTCAACATCATATTGTAGAAGCTTAGGTAGAAATTTTACATATTGTAGGAGAAAATCCTCATATGAGTGCAAAACAAATATGCAAGTATCAGTATCATCAGCTGAATGGTTGTTACAAAACGCTCAAACTCCCTTATTTACATCTAATGTGTTAGTTATAGATGAACTTGTGTTTACACAAAATCGGATAGTATTCACAACATTTGTCTGCTTACGATTCAATGGGATGACTTCCAGCACTGGCCAGGAATTATTGATGATTGTTTAATTGGACCTTACATATTGCCAATTAAATGGATGGTTTTCAATATATTGAATTTTTTAAAAATAATTCGCCTGGACTTCTTGAAGATGTGTCCTTAGCAATTTAGCAGTTTGACAACGGATTTGGTTTTTGCATGATGATGCGCCCCTCTATTTTTAACATAATTTTAATTGAGCTCAACAAATATAGTTGTCTAGAAGGTATAACCATCACGGTGTCCTGATTTAAATCCTCTCATTTTACTTTTTTGTACAATAGATTAAAAAATGAAGTGTATTGTACTGAAGTGGAAACTACTAATGATTTATATGAACATATTAAAGTTGATGCCAATAATTTATGCTGCACGATTAGCAAGAAGAAACATTTGACTTGATGATTTAAAACTGTGCTCAGATGTGCTCAAATGTATTTATGAATTAGTGGACAGGTGAACAGTTTCACATCAGTACCATTTTTTTCTTAAGTAAAATACTAATTAACATTCACTGATTACATTTATAATAGTAGGAAATAGTAACAATGATAAAAGCAATTGAATTTGTTGAAATAAAATAGTTGCAATAAAACTCTAGTTATTAATTACCTCCTTACACTTTTTTCCTATTTTGTGTGGAAACTTTTTATGCACGGTGTCCCAAACTCTTGCCCCAATGATATTACAGGGTAACGAAAAATGTTACTGAAAATTTGAAGTATAGAGTTCAAGCGGCATGGCGATTGAAGTGCATTTTGCACCAAAGACTAAAGTTTTAGATATTTTGAAAATTGTGTTGATGACATCACTCCTATTTAAAAAAAAACATATTTTTCCGATAAAGTTTGTTTCTATAATATTTTCATTAAAAAGTTATGATTAGAAGTAAAAACAAACGATTTATAACAATTATTTTAGAATTTATTGCTTCGTTAATAATAGGAGGCTGTTGAAAATTTTCATACAAGGCTTGTTATGACACTGTTAATGATGCAAGTTGCCAGAAGTCCTTGAAATAGTAATATCAAATACATATTTAAATACTAAACATGTCTTTAATTATTCACAAAGAAAACAAAAACAATAAAAGTAGAACAAAAAACAAGAAATATTTTTCATATATAACCAAAATAATTATAACATATTTTCTATATGTCCACCCCCTGTAGCTAAACATAAATCTAACCGAAGCCTAACTTCCTTTGTAATTGCATTCCTCAGCATATTAGGAGTAAGCATTTTGGTAGTAAGCACAGGCATTTTGAATTTTTTTTTTAATGTTCTATATTACGTGACATACTTTTATAGACTTTATTTTTAAGGAAATCCCATCAAAAAAGTCTAAGGGAGTCATGTCGGGAGATTTTCTGGGTCATTTTATGTGTCCATTTATTCCAATCCATTGTTCCGCGAAAACAGTATTTAAATAATTCTGCACAATAAACGCTTTATGGGGTGGGGCTCCATCGTGCTAGAACCACAAACTTCTTCGCAATTGCAAAGGGATGTTTTCGAGAAGTGCTGCGAGTTCTTCATGCAAGAAACGCAAGTATTCTATACGATTCAACACACCATAAAAGTATGGTCCTATCAGATGACTTCCAATGACACCACACCACACATTCACACCAAAATATCCTTGATTTTGTATAGGATGAACATAGTGTGGATTCTCAATGGACCAACAATTTTTTAAAGAAAACAGATAGAGAAAAATTTTTTAAATACAAGTTTATCGGAAAAATGTGTTCTTTTTAAATAAGGAAAAATACAGTTATGTTCCTGGAAAAAAAATATTTCATGACGACACAATTTTCTAAATATTTAAAACTTCAATTTTTGGTGCAAAATGCACTTCAATCCATGCCGCTTAAACTTCATACTTCAAATTTTCAGTAACATTTTTCGTTACCCTGTAATATCATTGGTGCGTCGATTTTGGGACACCCTGTACATGCCTACTGACTGGGCAGGCATTGTGTTAGGTCAAGTAATACAGTTGACTAAATTCCAGTGGCATGTAGATAAATGTTTTTAAATAAATTTGAATGTGTCCTTTCTGATTTCTTTTTAAATCTTTGTATGTATAGAGTCCTAAAACAAAGAAAGAATAAAAAATATCCCATTTTTTTTATCAAATTTTATACTGTGACAAATTTTACAATATGTTTAGTTATTTTTCACAAGTTTCAAGGTTTGCTCAAGTTTGCTTTGGAAATTAAAATATTGGGCACGATTATATATGGTTAAGTAATGTTAAAGCTCTAAGAATAATATTTTTCTCTTTTCAATCCTTTTGAGTAAAACTGTGACGATGTGAAAATAATATTTAAAAACTTTACAGTGTTTCCTTTTTGTACCCAATGCCCCACAGGTTATGGTCCCAGGTAAACCTAGACTGATATTAAATGTGTTGTATGTAGTGGTATAGTGATTGCTAATAGTGAAATATTGATATCCAAAAGGTGAAACGGAATGTTAAACTATTCAATGGTAGTGATTATTCTATATGGAAATTTTGAATAAAGACTCTAAACAAATATTGGATGAAAACTCTCCTTTAAAGTTAATTAATGACAGAAATTGGAATAGTAATAGTATGCAAGACTTAAGTGATACAATGAGAAAAATGATTACAAAAGAAGACACCACAAGAGATACATTACAGAAGCTCAATGAAGCAGATGCCATCATTTTTCTATTTTCTATATTTATAAAAGAAGTAAGAAGGACGAGAGAACCCTTCAAATAGTTCAAATCAGTGAAGACAATGGTTTAAGATTTGCATTTATGACTGGAATTCAAAAATTATAATCACTTGCTAAAGAAGAAATTAGATTTACATTAAATTCAGGGGCTACCAACGACTCACGAAACAAGAAGCACTATTTCACTGAATTTTCCTAGTTAGCAAATACCATTAAGATTTCCATTGCAAAAAGCGACAACTCAATTACAGAAGTTTTAACAAGTAACACTACTCAACCGTCAATCTCTGGTTGGTATGAAACTTGGCACATCGACAGAACTCTAAAAAATATTGAACACGTATTTTTTTATTTTCTTGGAATTCTCTTTCAAGGGGTAGGATCCACCTCTAGAAGACGGTAAGAGTGAAAATCTCCATAAACCTCCATAAATGAAATTAAAAAAAAAATACGTATTTATTAACCAAACTCACTCACCCAAACCAACGAACCCTCCCACTCTAAGCCTACCCCTCTCCTAAACTAATCAACCCCTTTATCCCAACATCAAGCATATAAGTGGAAGTCATCACAAATTTGGAATTTACAAGTGCGAATTATTAATACAAAATATGGTAAGCCCATAATAAAAGGTGAGAAAATAAATAAGTTAATAGCCATAAATCTAAGTAAATAGTAGTATTCATTCGGCAATCGACAAATATATACTATGATCTCAGTAAAACTAAATTTCTAAAATTAAAAACTAGAGATCTTAAACAAAGTAGGTATCTATTAATAAATTAAGTAAACTAAATCACAAGTGAGCTATATGAAGCTTATATTTTTTGAAAGCAAGCCTCTTTTGTATTCGCTAAAGGTAAGGACAGGACAAAACAAAACATCCATTGAGGTGTGGCAAGTAGTGAATCACTCTGTATTGGGGGATCTATTAGAAAAAAATTTGTAATTACTTACTGCAAATGTGACATCCTCTAAAGTAGCAACAAAGCACTCAATTAGATTAGTTGGTATATCTGATAAAAATCCCACGGTATCAACATAAAGCACCTGCAATCCTGATGGCAACAATCCTGAATGAAGTGTTACATCCAATGTAGCAAACAACTGATTCTTTGGTTGTAAGGAGCTTTCTCCTGTTAAAGCTTTTATTAATGCTGTTTTCCCGGCATTTGTGTAACCTACAACCGCAACAATGGGGTATTCTTCTTTTTTTCTCTTACTCCTAAGCAACGTTCTTTGATTCCTCACCTCTTTAATTGCGTTCTTCAATTTCTTTTCTCTTTCCTGAAATACTAATTTTAGGGAATCTGGATCACTTGTACTAAATAGAGTATCCTTCTGTGCTTTTCTTTGTACGTAATACAGTTCTGCCAAAGCTACTTGCAACTTGGCATGCTTGCTTATAGCGTGTGTCTTTAGTATCTGCATAACAATTCGATATCGATCCAACACTGGCAACCCAAAACTTTCTTGCAATAAAGTTGTCGTTACCTTCCTTAAATTACTTGTGTTTATAAAAATAGCTGTGATATCTCTGTTATTGTGTATCAATTTTCGTAATTTCTCCATTGAACCGGATTTGAATAAAGACTTTTTTTCTAAACTGTCCAAAGGAACAGAAACAGTGTCGTTAACTTTCCATAATGGCAAAGTTTTTATTAAAGCCACAGCTTCTTCCAACTGTTCTTCAGGTGATATACTTAATTTGCGTGGACCCCATTTAACGTAGGGCTGTATAACTAAACAATTGTGTGCCTCTCCCAAGTGAAAGTAGTGTGTAAGTAAACTATTGTATTCTCTGAAAATATAATTGATATTTAATACACTTGCTTTCTTGTAAAAATTAATAACCCACCTATCGGAAGCCAATATTTCATCAACATGTTGATCAGAGAGGTTTTCTTTGGCAAATATAAAACTTGTATGAATTTTGCGTACCCTGACATAATTTCTAAATACAATTCTCACTTTATTCATTGCAAACATGTTATATTTTTTGTTTAATTCCATTCACATCTATTTTAGTAGGTACTTCAGATATTCAAATCAATAATATCTTTACTATTTACTTGTAGATATAAGTATATTTTCCAATAGTTTCAAAATATATTTAAGAAAACAATTAGAAATTTACATAATATACATAATATCTGTCATATTATTTTAGGTTAAAAGAACACAAAATACCATAGACAAAGCAAAATACAAAATATATAGGTTGGAACACAGTATTATTGATTAGTATACTGTGGGTTGGAAACTAGTATCATTTATCTAGGTTGGAAACACATACCACCTAGACTGGCCGTATCTAATTCCAATGCACGGGTACCAGTGAATGCAAAATCCGGGGAAGTGGAGTGTTGAAGGCAATCTCGCCGCCATTATTCCATGGCTAGAAATTGGCCACAATGATTTGGGATCGAGGGGGATTATCCCTCTTTATCCTGCCTCATCTCGTGTAGGCCTGGACAGCCTTCGTAGGTGGGCCCCATCCGTCGTCTACCCCGACCGCAAATGCGGCCGGTGTAGGNGAATTTATCGCTATATAAAGATAGGCAGGTGAGGTAAGTTTTTTTCTTACTGAATTTAAAAAATAAACTTCTACATAAAGTTTATATAGGTTAAGTTTTCTACATATTAAATCAATAAAAAGTAAATCTGATCCTATTAATAAATTAACTACATTTACGTAATTTTAAATTCTTTTTTTATTTCATTTTCATATGGAGTATTGCCTATTAAATAACTTGATTATAACAAACACTTTTTATGAACACAAAAAGATACATAAATACACGCGAGTAGAAGCCAACAGAGGAGAAAAATCATTAATCGATTATGTGTTAACTGAGAAGAATAATAGAAAGCAGATTATGGATACGAGAGTTAAAAGAGGATCAGAAATAAATAGTCATCATTACTTGGTACTAACTAATATTAAGAATGATAAGAACCCAAAATACGAAATAAACGAGAAAACCGATAAGATGAGACAACATGAAACAATAAAATCATACATGCTAACAAACCCAAAAGTGAGAGAAAAATATGAACAGCTGATAAACGCAGAAACAGAAAAAATATNTAATGGCGCGCGCGGCGCGGTGGTCTGTGGTTGGAAACATTGATAAAATATTTATAGTAGAATGTTAGATCTCTTGGCTGGGTTAGGTTTAGTTTTAGTTAACTTTTAATTCATTAGAAAATACATAGGTACATATCTATCAAATTGTATATTCCTCTATTTCATATATTTGGAATTAGAAAATGATAAGAATTAAGAAACATATGATAGATTCCATTAAATTTAAAAACCTCTTAACACAGAACACAGAGTATAATTACAGAAATTTTTTAAAACCATAGACTACAGAACATAAATAAAAATATTTTGAACTTTTTCCCATGAATTTGTCCATCAATTACAAGTGAGATAAACTGTAAAACTGTTTCTAATTCAACTAGAAGAAACAAATCTGCTAGTTTATATAAAAACAACTGGTTAATTACAAGAAAAATAGTAAAAATCAGATAATTTTTAATAGAAATCAAAATTATGGAATCCAATAAACTTTAGTATAATGATAAATGCCTAAAACTAAAATGAGACAACACCACATTCAATTTTAAGAATATACAGGGTGTAGCATAAATAAGTCTTTACTTAATATTAAGGTGAAGAAACGATAAATTACTGGTTGCCTATAAATGTTCAACCCTTCGTATTTTATTATTTTCACATTATTGGATGTTCAATTTCTGCTGATATAACAACAAAATAATTATTGTAGAACGTATGGATGCCTTATTTTATTTAAAAAGCAAGTTACTTTAAAGAACGGTTTAAAACGACGTAAATCTGCATTATCTTTTACCACTATGTTTTAAATAAATTGTTTCACAAAAATTTAATTAATGAGAGGGTTAAATTACATAATACGTTTTAATAATAATTCAACGAATTATGAACGAACTGTAGAATTTAGTAGTAAATTGCCATAAGATGGCGTTAATGTGCAACTGGATGAGTTCAGACTTTTATGAATAAAATAAATGGGCGACTTTCTAAGAGCGTTCTTCATCAACTGATCAGCTTTTCTACTAATTTCCTATCTCTATTCAATAGTGATTTAGGCATCTAGTACAGCAACACAACTACCTATACTAGTATAATGTAAGAACATAAACAATTTATTTTATGTACATTTAATTTACGCACTACGTATCGTATGAAATCATATCATTAAAAAAATCTATCAATAATAAGTTCCTTTTGTAAATTAAAGCTAAGGGCCATCACTGCTGTTTTGTATCTTACAACAAGAAGTGTACATAGTAGTTATATATTTGATATTCAGCAGCATAAGTACATATTGATTTTTATTTTATCATTCTCTTACACATATTTAGATATTTATGTCAAAGAGAACACTTTCATCCACATTAGTTGATAGTTAGACTTAAAACTTGTACAGGGTTGCACATAATGGAATTTCGAAAATTCCAGGTTAAAATTTTGTTATATAAATAACAAAACATTTAATTTATTCTCAGATCTATTATTGTTTCTAATATTAAGAAAATGCCTGCTGGTTATATTTTCTGATTCATGCCTCTAAAAAAAATATATTTTTCTATTTTTTTTGGAATGAAAAATTTTGAATGGAACTCAATAAGAGTACCTACTTTTCTGAATAATTTATTTTCTCCCTGCATTTAGATACAAAGGTAATATCTGAACAAATATTAGTATAACTAAATATTTTTAAAATTGGGCAAGAGATACTTTTCTTCATTTTGACCCCTGACTTACCCTGTTCAGTAGGTAATTAGTGGATACACATGTCCGAGTGAGATTGATTATTTTGATATTAACCTATTGTTTTTTCTTAAAATAAATAAGTAATATTTAAAATTCAGTTACAAATCCACCAGATTAAAGTCATATACACATTCCTCAATAATTATTTAATTTTATTAAGTTATTGCTGAATAATTGTCAGTTTGACAATTTGGAAGACCGTGACAATGAGGTATCAACGATTTACAAATATTTCACTGTGGACTCAAAGAGTTTTGTTGTAACGTTTTGGTTCCGAAAAACATAATCACTGCCTTTTTTTCTAATTGGCGCAATATTGCATTCGATACTGAACGAAAGGAGATTTTTTTTTATTTTGAATAACAAGCCGAAAAGGCGGCATTATTTATTATATTGTCAGAAACTGTCGACACAGCAACAATCTCTGAAATAATATTTAATTCATATTTTTTATTAAATAACATTTTCAATTCATACTAACAAAAATAGTAACAGTAGTATGTATTTACAAATTTATTAGTTTAAAAACAGTGCCAATAAAAAACCTAATGCAGACATTCAACATTATCTTGTTGAAAATTTATTACGCTTTTTTATTTATTTTTTATTTTCCGAGATCTCCACACATACTTCACCAAAAAATAGCCCACACGGCCTATCTACATAAAATAACTTTTTTTCAGAATCCCTTCAATTTACGAACTAAATATTCATGGACTCACGGATTCATTTATTTATATTATTTTTATGTTTTTAGTAAATCATAAAGCACAACTTTCTCAAATATATTATTTTTAGTAAAACTGTTAACATTTTTAAGATCCAGTAAAATGAATAACTGAAAAAAGAAGATATTCAACGTTTTATAGTTGTGTTACAAAAGTGTCCAAAATTTTAAAAGCATACAAAAATAAGATAAAAATTTGGAACAAGATCGTACCTAATTAGCTTACAGGATATGGATATGACTGTTGATAAATGAAATAATTCAGTGGTGGAGATTCAAGGGCGTCGTCATCTTTTATTGGGGGGTACTCTTATGTTACTTTTGTCTCTTTTCGTATCGTTTTCGAGAAAATTTGATTTTAAACCTTTCTTAACGGTGTGTATTATATATGTCGTCATAAATATTTTTCTTGTAGTGTAAAACAAAATTTGACTTTTCTATCTTAATATATGGTTTATTTATATACATATATCCGGAAAAGTAATATTATCTTTTAAATTTTGCATTACTTTAATTCTTCAACGTGTATTCTTATGAAAAGCATGTTATTTTCAATTCAAATAAATTCATTGTTAGTGTTAGGTTAGGTGCACTTTTATCTTTATTACTTACTTGCTAATTGTGTTGTAAAGTTATTTAATGATATATAAATAACCATGCAATACACTTGCATTTTATGTATGGACGTGCCAATGGTAATGGACTCGAAGCTCGTCTGTAAGCTGAGATTTATCCTAAACGTTCAGATTCTTCTGCTCGAATATGCACCAGACTTCATCACCGGCTCCGGGACAGTGGGAAATTTAGTAAAAACTTTATCAACTCTCGAAGAACTAGGTCAGTTTCTACATCTGGTAGAACAAATTTTGGCGGTAGTGAGAAATAACCTTGGAACTAGTGTCAAGCGGTTTACAGCTTATGAAGTTAATAGCCTTATATTCTGGTTTGTAGAACCTTTAAGGATATCTGTTATATCCCTACCACATCTAACATGTTCCAGCACTAATCCACCAGATTGTGATGATACGTAGATGAGTTTTTGAGAGAAATAGGGCCTGTTGTATTGTCTATTCATTTAAACGGTCCTGTATTTCTACATTTTTAAGAAAGGTTTACCGTCATTTCTTGAAGACATGCCAGTGAATGGCAGATGTGGTTTGTGGTTCATGCACATGCACATGGTGCTGGTGGCGGATAGATCGCCAGACCAGAATATGCTGATTTATTAATTTGCAGTTATCTTAAAATTTGGTGTGTGCAGAACCAATTAAGTACTTGCAAGTTCTACAACAGCGAATATGCTGCAACACAATTAGACTCCAACAAGGGATATTTGAGAAGGCACGTAATTGATTTTTAAGTGTAGAACACATTTTTATAAAATAAAAATGTTAAACCTCTTGATTTCAGTTACCATTTTTTTGCACTCTATATGGAACAAATTCATAGGTCATCAAGTGTCTTAAACTCACATTTAATAGAGATAAAAAATATATAATTAATTAATTTACCCTGCTCTTTCAGAGAATGCTACTATTTTAGAGAAAATGTCAGTGACGTATAGACACTTCTCAAAAAATAGATCTCCACCCCTGAATTATCTCATTTATCATCGGCATATTCAAATAAATCGTGCAGACTTATTAGACAATTTTTTATTTTTTATACTTATTTTATTACCTGAGTGTGTTTATGTTAGAGGGGAACCTTAACAGAAATTTATAGCTGCTAGCTAATAGCATTACCTAATCTAGATTTGTATTTGTTAAATATTTTATAGACCTCAAAAGTATATCGAAATCTAATTTATTTTAGTATGTTTAATTTCGTTCATTTTGTTCCCTAATTTAACTGAAAATCTAAATTATATACTGTATAACAAGGTTTTAAAAATATTTTAATTTTTGAAAAATGCACGACTACAAAAAAAAATTGAAGTACATTATTTAAGAAAATTAAAATTGAATAATATTGAATCAAATTTTATTGCCAAATACCGTCCTGTAAGGAATGTAGCGGTTTTAGCCATGTTATTGTAGAACGAGGAAAAAATAAGGAGAGCATAAATTTTAGTTTAGACAACAATCCGGATGCTGCTTTATCAAGCCACCTACGCCAGAAGGGAAGTAAAGCATTCATGATATATTTCGAATACGATAAGTAATAACAAATTTTATTTGGCTCTGTTATAAATTTGTAATAGCACACCAACGATAACGGTTTCGAAAAGTCACGGGTCAGTGTCCCAAAAATCGAGGATTTATTTTCTAATACATTCAAATTTCTCAATTAGATAAGTCGCGAAGAGATAAGAAAATCCATGGGGTACCCTGACTTCAAGATCTAACACCAAAATAGAACGAATGTCACAAGTGTACAACACATGTCTTAGAGTTGGAAGTGTTTAACGAAAGTAAGAGACTCGTGTGATACTGAACAGACTTGAGTTACTTCTGTGAATTGGGTGGCCTGGCATAAACCAAAATAAACGTTTGAGCTAAAGGCTAAAAGGGAATGCATGGTTTTGGACTGCTTGCACCCCAGGTTGTTGGTAGGTAAGTCTCAGTGGCGGTTTCTGCTTATTACTATTTTTACAAGTTAAATTTTTAATATTGTATGTATTAGTAAATATATTATACAAGTGAACTGGATTTGTTTATAATCTTAATGTAATTTTTAATTTTGTGTATAATGTTACAGTATAACTAAATTTTATATGCTGTGTTACCCGGCAGAAGCTAAAACAAACTTGTAACAGTTTTATTCACGATTTAATTTGAATAATCTCAGTATTTATTAAGCTTGGTTCAAAAAATGTTTATAAAATTTCGCTTTTTGACAGACTCAAGAAATGTGTCTTTTTGCTCCCACACAAAAATTATTCACGATGAATCATTGACACAAAGTTACAGACTAATTTGTGACCAGAGCCTAGTTAAAAATATGGTTGTTCTGGGCTTTCCGTACAGTTTGACATAATTATCTACAAAGGGACGAATGTGGTCATGACTGTGACCATCAGTTTTTAATAATAATCGAAATACATGACGAAAAATGGGATGTTTTTCATTTTCAATGTGGAAGTTGCTTAATATAAATAAAAGTTAGGATGTTTATGATTTCGATTGGTTTGTCACCATCAGTCGGATATTATTACAATTTGCAAATCAAATTGCCTCTCAAAATACCAAGAATATAAACTGAAGAAAATGTCACAGATATGTACAAATCTAATTTTAATAATAACACAGATAATACAGTGTTCCAGTTAAAAATATATATTTGATGTATTTTCAATGGAACAACCTGTACCCATATTTTTTATAGTTTGTAATTATTATTGCTTATTTTAATTGACCAGTAGGAAATTTCTTTAAATCTCAAAACTTTTTTCGAAAAATCAAAATATCCAACAATTTTATATTGGGTTGTGATCTGAATAATTCAAATGTAATTAACTGAAAATTAAGCTCAGCCACCGTATTTTCGACATAATTTTTTTCCTTCCTATTTTACAAAATTTTTTAATCTTAATTAGAAAAATAATGGGGGGCAGTTCATATAAAGTTTTTCCCATTCACATGCATTTCCGAATTTTCCGATATGTAACGTGTAAAAAGGAGGGGTTTTCTTAATTATCTTTAAATCGATTGACCATAAAATTATTAAAATTTGTGCATGAATGAATTACCTGCCTTATGAAAAACATACAATCGATTGTATTCCCAATAGCAGTTGGCGAAGATGATGGTAGTTTGAGGGGTATATATATGTATGTTAAAAATCAAAATCTCTTAAACATCGTAACGGTTTTGCAAATCTGAAAGGATAATACCTCCTTACTTATTTAAAGAACAAAGTGTATATTTAATTTTACACACCGTTTTTTTTAGTGACGTATTTGTCCTTCAATGTTTTAAGTTCAAAAATGAGCTACCAAATACGTTCTCTCGAAAACCGTATTAATTTAATTGTAAGGCTTCTTTAACTATGAGGGCTAATTAAATAAACAATGTGTACTTATCTAAAACAAATGAGATACATTTTCTTCCATAAAACTGACTTCCAATTTAAAATAATTAAATGTAAGGAGAAACATTCTTCATGTATTTTATGGAAAAATGTTTACTGAGCTTTTCATTTATATGAAGATTATTCTGTATGAAAAAAACCCTTTCGAGAGCAATGACCCCTTCTAGGGAACATTAAACTGAAAAAAAAATGTAGTGTAAGTAAAACAATAAATAAAGGTTAATCGAAGTTCAATATTGTTATTATTGATGTATCTCCTAGTCTTCAGTAACTTTAAATGAAGATATACCCAGAGACTTATATAATTTACAAGAAGTCATATTATTTATTTACCTCAGTATTTATTTATAATATTATACTTACAATTAAATAGTTAATACACTGTTCTATTTGATGTTCAATAAAGTTAGTTTTATGTCACTTAATTGTGAAAATATATTGTTTTTAGATATTTGAGGCTACCATCTTCTTTATTTAATTTAATGTGCAGAGAAGGGATGATTTTTTGTCGTTCTTTATTTTCTTTAGCTCTAAATATTTGATATCGAAGAGTAAATACGTATATAGGTTTATTTAATGAAAAATTAAAAAAAAATTAATTAAATTAATTTAAATTAGCTTAGTACCTACCTATAAAGTAACATAAACACGAAATTATTTTCCAACAAAAACGGATGATTATTATTAAACCAAAATGACATGAATGTGTTACGGTTTTCAAAAATATTAATATATAAACATTTTTTGAAAACTGTGTAGATTTTGTATTAAACTGAAACAATTTTCTGTTTCAAATGCGAAGGAACGTTTACTACTGAATTTGAGAAATGTAGGAACAAACCTGGTAATAAATTATTTTAACAATATTTAGATATAGTAATTCGCTAATAATTTTCCGATAGCATGACAGTAATTAGATTGCTATCGCTGCCTTATCAATAGAATTTTTTTTTAATGTAGGTATTTATTTGGTATACAATAATAATTTATTTTAAAATACTAAGAATTCAACAAGAAGAGTATTATTTGACATTTTCTTTATGAAATAATTTCTCAAATTTTGTTGATGTAAAAATATCTCAACTGACATCTAAAAATGCATAATTTAATGCATAAAAGCGAAAGACTGCTATACAGGGTGAATCAGAACTTATCCAAAAAAAAATTCTGGATGTACAGGGGACCCTTGCAAATACAATTTTGTAAAGAAAAAATCAAAAAGGTCAGTTCGAAATTGATTTAAAAATACACTTCTGCACGGCACTGGAAACTGGTCCACTGTAAAACCTGACCTCGCACAATGCGACCGGTATGGCGGCGTGATAAAAACGGACAAAAACTTTCGCAAGGAAAGAAATATGTAAATAGAATTTTATCGCACCTATTTTATATCGGCAAATTCAAATGCTTTTGCCTTTATTAATTATTAATCAAATTAATTTGTGTTTTTAAATAATAAAATCATTTGACATACCCGATGCTGCAACAGCAATTGTTCAAAATTTTATCCACTCACGTGTAAACACATTTGGGTCCGTCTTACTCACTTTCTACGAACTAACACAAATGATGTCTTGCTTCA